AGCAGACCTTGCCTCTAGTGGCAGCAGCATCTTTATCTGAATTTCAATGTGAAATAATGTGGGTCTCAGCAGTGAAATTTAACATGAGGCTTTTAAAATCTTGTCAAATCAGAAAGGAAAGGAGAATCTTCAGCGTCACATTAAGTCAAGCGGTGATGACCCTGAGCATCCTTCTTCCTTATTATCTCTTTGACTTTTCAGGATGCTTTCAAAGTACTTTATACAGGTGTTCAGGGAGCGAGTGTTAGGAGAGGGAAACTGCTGATATTCGCAAGAAGAGGATAGGAGTGCAATGACATCATACTTCATATAGACATTGGTCATGATGACAAAACAGCCAGGCTACCATTATCACACTTAATTAGATTTCTTTCAGGGACCAGGCAGGGAGACCTGCTCTCTATGAGGTTGTAGTTACAGTATCTTCTTCATCTTACAGGGAGAACTGTTTCTGTTTATTTAACTGTTTTGGTTTCTCCATCTTATTCACCATGAGACATTACCAAATTAAAAATGTGCCTTGTGTGCCTCTATTGAAATGCATACATGGTAAGATGAGTGTAGTGGATTTTTTATGTGCCAAAATTACAAGGTGTCAAATATGTATATCTACGCTCATACAGTTAATTATGCATAACCCAGCTCTGCCTTATGAATACAACTAAATTATTGGGAAACTATGTTTTAAGTTTAGATATTTGCGATATATATTCCAGGTCATCTGTTTAATGATGGCTAAATGTTCACGAGAACAGACATTTCATTTGGTCCAGATTGTGGAAACAAGACCTCTGTAGCCTGATATTCTGCTGTCTTGTTTTTCTGAAAGATCAATGAACTAAAACCAATGCCGTAGCAATTTAGCCTAAATGGTTTTAACTCCTGATAAATTGAAGCAAATTGAGAAAATGAACACATTTGAAACCCCTGGGGGTACAAGGGGGGGTACAAGAAATGTGTATTTGTAAATCGTTTCCTATGACTGCAGTCTAATTAGGAGCCGGTGTTTGTGCCACTGGGAATTCTGGCAGTAATGAGTGCCAGACAATCATACAGTAGGAGCATATTAAAGTCAATGCTAATCTGTGACGGACATCTCAACACTGGCCAATAAACGGGTGCTCATGTGTTCCTTATTCTGTTCCTCAGCACAGGTTTAAGGTAATGCTAAAAAAAAACATGTGTCCAGATTTCTGATTGGTTCCCACGCGGTTCTGAATTGATGGGAGTGCGCCGCAGCTCTTCCATCACAGCCCTCCACCTCATTAAAATCCTTTAGTCTCTCAGCGCATTAGCAGACTGAGCTTTAAGTGTTGTGGATAAAGGAGCAGATGAAGTGGGCAATATCGACACACTTGTGCGCTCTCTATAAAGATTTTGCAGTCATTTGTGGGTGTCGCAATTCAGCATCACTCTCAACTGCATATGTTTAAATAGCGAGGGCTATTCACAGCCATAATGCTGATGACTTCGGCTGTCTTGAAATCTAATTCTCCGTTTGTAATTTTAAAGCCATGTTTTTCTTGAATGCACTGCTGGGTTGCTAAGTGTGTGTAGTAAAGAAATGAAATCACTTTCTATTACCCTCAATGGGAATATGTCTAGATGAAATATTGCTTTCAAAACACATACTCATAAGCTAAAAATGAAAATGTGATTTTTATACAAAGGGAAAACAAAGCGTTTTAAAAAGCAAAAATCATAAGGAAGGTTGAGGGGAAGGTAATACATGTAAATTAGTCTTTCATAGTGAAATCACAATAAGCACAAACAGAAATATCTCGACAGCAACTAGAAATGCTACAATTTCAGAGTTCAAGGGCACTTGAATACAACAGAGCTATTGTGTGTTATAAGTGACCTGTATTTTTCCCACTATGACATTTACAAATGTCTTGCTGTGAAAAGGGCCTTTTAATTTGACAAGTGGAAGAAATGTCCAACCTGATGTAGGAAACAACCCTCCCAGGGGATATTTGAATAATATTTTGTGATTACACAATTTGTATGTGTAAGTGGTCCAAATGTTTTTGTTAAAATCAAGTTTTGAGTGAAAACTAACATGTAATTCATTGAATGCAACCCACTAATCCTACAGTAAATTACTTTATAGACTTTTATTTTCGTCAATTTGTGGCTATTTCCCTCCCACAGCTGGATTAATTGCTGTGTAATTACCGAGAAGCAGTTTCAATGTCCAGCTAGTAACAACCCATGCCTGTATCTGCAATTGTGCCAGCCATGTGGTGAGGTTATTTTGTTCTTGATTCAAATGATCATCCTTTATTATTGCGTATCCTGATCCAATACCAATATTAGCCTACATGTTAATAAAATATTGATCCAACACATGAAAATGCTTTCAGTAGTTTTCCAACATATATCCAGTCTGCTTGACCCACATACTAAAGCCCTGGTGCAATCTATAGGGGGATCATGTTAAATTATTGATATGCTCTGAGTTTAGAAGAACATCTCTCCTGAAATTGACATGAAGCGATCCACTACAAGAGAGAAGAACCTGCTGGAGTTTGGCCTACAAAAACACACGGCCCACTAAAGGGTTCAGGGACAGTGACGCTTCATTTAGCTCCAAAACAATCTTTGGCAGACACCGGCTCGCAGAGAGCTCACAAACCCACATCTGAGTTTATATTGGAGGTCCTCAAGTTGCTAACATAACTAACAAGGGGGGTGGTGGCAAAGTCGATAGGGAGTTGGCTTGGCAACTGGAAGGTCACCAGTTCAAGTCCTGGCAAGACCAACCGAGGTGTCCCTGAGCAAGACACCGTTCCCTACACTGCTCCCCGGGCGCCGTTCAAAATGGCAGCACACTGCTCCTAACACTAGGATGAAAGATTGAGATGAGAGAAACAATTTCCCCACGAGGGATTAATAAAAGTCCATCTTCTTCTTCATTAATTAGCAACAGCTGACCTGCAGACGGTAACGGTTTTTATTTCACTATTCGAAAGGATAAAGTGTGATGAGAAGCTGCTTCCTGAAGGTTTGTACACTGATCTCTGCTAATGAGAAAGAGAGTGGAGGGATAATAGATTTATTACCAGTTGATTAAAGAATCGAGTAAATCACCGAAGCAACTGAATAATCTAAACACTCAAATTGTCCTTTGCATATGCAGTTAAAGGCTAAACGTGTGAAACCCAGCTATCATTATAGAGAGCAGTACTTCACCACTAGCAGATTGTGGACAAAACACAGTACAGTAAGGGATTGGATTGTGATCTGATTTGTTTAGCAGAGACAGATCCATTAAAACATGTCTGGATCTGGACCTTTAAGGCCGCTTCGGGAGATCTTTAGCTTCAACACATAACCTCTGCAGTAAAAGGCATGGCTTGTTATGCTCATATCAGACATCATGACATATTATAACAGATACAGCGTTTGCTTTTTTTCCACATATGAAAAGTTGCTGTACGGTTTCGACAGATGGGAGAGTAAAGATTTGTGTATGTATGAGGATAGTTTGTGCTGCAGTTTTGTCCTGTTGGCATCTTTACTTAAAACGTTAACAAAGCAAAAAGAAGGCACACTGTCATAACTGTGACCCCTAAATAGTAAAGAAATACAAGTGTTATGTTTACAATAGGCCCTTTTTGTATTCAAATAAAGACGCTATTTTCCCACCGACTGATCAGACATTTAAAAGAGGTTTCAGCTAAGCTACAATGAATAATTCTGAGTTAATATCTTGGAAAATACAACATGTCCCAAAGCTTTGAGCAGAAGGCAGGGAAATGAATATGGCTTACAGAACCCACTGTTCCTTTGATCAAATCTCAAACTTGTTTACTTCATAGCGAGCTCTCCATCTTTCCCCTCACCCACTGCTGCGGTCACCGGCAGCTCGGAGGTTTAATGGCAGCATTTGCAAGGTCTGCCTTCCGTCTCCAAATCCTGGCGACAGGCCCTTTTGTTTGCTCTCAGCAAGACGTAGAGCAGACCCGGAGGAGGTTTCTCAAACTTGCAAAAAAAATGGATTACAGGCCTTAAAATAGAGCTGTGCACCTGTCTCCTAACGTTTTCCAGCCAGGACCCTCGTGGATCCAGTGACCGCGGCAAATGTCACACGATGGGGATGCTGTGACCACAAAGCTGATTCAAAAGCTGGTTGCTTTCACAAACAAATATAGACGCTAAACATATCGGAGTGATGTTTCTCAAAATGTAAATGATGTTTTAAAATGGTGACAATGACATTGTAGAGATGAGTGGTACTGTATGGTGAAATAGACAATAGAAAGTAAGGGACTGGCTGTGGCTTTAAAAACACGTTTTTTATGCTTCAATGTTATTTCCAGTACTTTCTTTGTGCAAATTTGACCGCAGAGCCGTTTTTAATTCCTTGTTTATTCACCTTTGTTTATTGTGTGACTGCTGTGTGAGTGACTGATCTCATATCCCCCTGTGGACGCCCCTATTTCTGTTTCTTTCAGTTTGTTTTCTTTATCCTCCTGCCAGACATTCACAAAGTAAAGTCATTCAGACCCACCATAAGCCCTAAAGGATTTGATCGTTTGAAACCATTTTAACTTACCTGCCTCACAGGCATAATTTGCATCCAATTTGCATTGACTTTATAGGCAACAGGCCACCTCTAAAACCTGCTATGTGTGAGTTCTGAATACACCCTTAGCACCATATTTATCATCATGATCCCATTATGAGCTCCCAAAATGATCTTCCACAGCTTGTGTTTGAAGATTTGCAGTCATGGAGGTGAGTAGAAGTAATGAGTTAGAGGAGGCCTGGTTTGTGTTTTGGACAATAAAGGTCATAGTGTGACCTTCCTCATTCGTATCAGATCATTATTCAAAGTAAACATTTTTATTATGTAATGAATAATTTAGTATTAGTACTTTATTTTTGGGAAAATACGCATTTACTCTGACCTCAGGCATATCAGTGCCGCCTCCGTAGATCACAAACATACTCACTAATTTATTTCCCACGAATAACCGTTTATTTTTCACACATTTACTGAAAATTACAGTTTATTGAAAGGACACAGAAAGGTCAGATAACACAGATACATGTAGCTAGGAGTTACTACTCAGTGCATGGCACATTCTCAGGGAGACGACCCATTGTGAGTCTTTGGCTCTTCGCCTCTGGAGTGTTGGAGGCAGAAAGAGCGCTGAAATATTAAACGTTCAGCAGTTGGCCAGCCAACCGGAGCCTCTATATTTCAAAATGTGGAGGAGTAAATTAACCTTTTTACAATGAGTGACAAACAATAGTCTAAGTTGGGTAGTAGTAGTAATAATAGTAGAAGTATTTTTTAATTGTCAATTGATATACTTATCACAGGATACAGTGTCAGACCTCACCAGTACAAAGGGATTTTTTCTATAAAGATCACACATTTAGAAAGCAGTGTCCTCACTCAGAATAAAACTCAGAAAAGGAAACAACAAATAAACAATCATGAAACAATTTACCAGTGCCATTGCTATCTTTTAAAAAAAAGAATTTCTAGAATGCATGCCATTTTACTATGGAGGTTTGCAGATGACAGTTTGAAATCCAGTGTCTCAGCTTTTGCAAACAATGCTGATATGTGTGTCTGTGTATATGTGTGTTTGTGTGTCTGTGTGTATGTGTGGGCGCACAGAGGTTTTTGTGTGAGTGTGCAAGTGTGTGCTCTTAGAAAGATCCTTCAGGCAATGCAGGAGCTCTGCATTTTGGATGATATGCCGTCCGCTCAGTCGTATTCATGTGGCTTTGTCTTTTTGCTGCTGCCTCCCTCTGCATCCTCGCTGGCGTCTGAGAGCTTTGTGGTGGATTTTACAGTCTGCGCCTGGCTCCTCTGCTGTTAGGTTCAAAAGATAAAGATTCTTAATGAGACTGCACAATAATATTCCACAGCATGCGCGGTGGTCTGTAATCTGAGCAGGAAATGCCTCTTAATATATCTATGGGATGCAAAGGAGGTTATTTAAAGATAATATTCATGGTTACTGCTGGGCATCTTAAACAGACCTGCTTCTGAACACACAACTGCTGTCCTGTTTTAGGAGTTCCATACTTCATTTGGTTCAGCTAAATGCTAGCTTTTGAGAGGCTGAATGCTATTGTGGTCTGAACCTCCCCATCCTCACCATTCAGACTGAAGGCAACATTCAAAATAGTGTCATTGGCAGTTTGGTCCTCTCCAGCTGAACAGGCATTTTTAGGCAATCACAATAATACAATAAACGTACAAACACACTGTGAAGGGTTACATTTCTAAGAGAAAACACTGGTAGCCACACCCCAAAGCATAATCTGCTTTATCATAAATACGACGATAACTTGAAACTAACCATTGAAACTATAAACAGCTCAGGAAGTGGTGATACATCAAGTGAGAAATAGGATTTTTTTCTCATATTTTTCTATACAATGTGAATTTCTTTGCAAGCGGTTCCCCTGTCAGGGCTGATAGAGGACATGCAAGGTTGCCCCTGGCTTAACCTTCAGTTTTATCCGAAAGATGCCCATGTCCAAAATTCTAAAATTGTATTTTGTGTGACGGGGGTGAACATGCTGTGGCCTTACGAGGAGTACGTGGCCACATCATTCTTTTTGACTGATACCTAGGTCGCAATACTTAATATATTCTTGACCCTTTATCATACTCTGTTTTAAAATGCTGGTTTGTTACAATACAATGTTGTATTGTTTGTGGCGGCGGAAGTACCTACAGCTGTTTTATATTCCAGCTGTTGAGAAAATGAGTTGCACTTGGAATAAATGCATTAACTACCTGGTGAGATGGAAACCAGCAGATCCAAGGTTTTGAAGACAAACTGTAAATGTTTAAAGCCGAGTGGCACATTGTGACACGGAGCAGTTAAGTGTGAGTTTGGAGGATGTGTGTTCATGTTATCACAAATTCCCACTAACATTTTAAGGCCACATTATTGGGATGCAATGTTTTTTCACAGACTGCTATTTAATTTGGCATTTTTAATAATTAAGTTTCAGCAATGACATTTTTAAGCACTGCACACAGCTTTAGGAAATCAATTCCCCAAGCAAAGCATCTGTTTAGTGTTTACCAATGTCACTTTGGAGAATGCCTTCAGGCTTACTGGCTGCAAACTATTGAGTTACACATCAGTCTGCATTGCAGAGGGTTATAGCTCCAACACCTGGCTCCAAGCATTTACAATTGGAATCCTTTCAGGACAGCTTTATAGTAAGCTCTGAATTCCAACATACTATCAATTATATAATAATACATTATCAAGTATTATCAATTTATTTTAGTATGCACCATCATTTGGTGACTAAGTACTCAATGACTCTCATTTCTATCTGCAGGCAAATTATTTCTCACTCTTGTGGCTTCTTTCCAAACTCAGTTGCCGCCCTCTTTGATGCGAGTTAGGGGTTTTCCTTTTTATGTGTGTGTCTTTATCACCAGCTGAAACTCCCCTAATGATATCCAAAAGTTTTTGTTTGAGAGTGGAGTTTTTAATATACTTGCAACAACTTTGTAAGTAGAAGCAGTAACACAGAATGTCGACCATCAAGCTTTCTAATTATTTTTTACTTTAATCTCAATAGTACAGTGTATGACATTCTGATTTATTTTTGCTGTTTTAAGCTCTCTTTTCATTGGATTGAAAGATAACTTTTGATATATATTTTTTTAAGACGATATGAATATATAAACACTTTTGAAAAAGCAAGCTACCCTCTTCTTTGCCCTGTTTTATTTTGGGTGTCAGTGATATTGCAGGCCAATAAATAATTATCTAAGTGTGTGTGCCACAGATGGTGTGTTTGTATTTATTGGTATATTCTAGAAGCCAAAACAAATTCAACACGTTTCTTATTGGTATTCTTGGATATTGAGCCCAGCTTAAGCAACACATACTTGTTGAGAACCCTGCATCAAGAGCTGATAGATGTCTTAATTTGAATGATTCATTGATAAATGAATTGATGATTTTGAACAAGTAAATCAAGCTCTGATGCATTCTTTGGTTGCTTTTTCCTACATTTACCTTTTCTGATTTGTGATTTTTCAGCGTACACCTTTAAAATAGAAAAAAAAACTGATTTAGAATAGGGGGCGAAACAAACAACGCTTGCTCCACTGTGCTCCAGGGATATGCTCTGTTTTTAAGTATGCCAGGGTTTTTGCTGAAGTGTTATGCAGTTATGTTTTTGACATTAAAAAAAAAAAAAACTGAAATAAAACTTTACTCTCAATGAATCTTAATCACGGAGTCGAGCAGATACACCTAACATTTGAATATATCCTCTACAGGTTGGATTGCATAATGTGGCTTTAACACTGCATATTTACAAGCCTGAACAATGTTATTTTCCTCCGTGTTGTTGACATTTGAGCTAATATGGCTAGAGGTCCTGTGTGGGTTTGTGCTGTTGGACTGTCAGCCTGTCGATGTTCAGGCCACATCGATGAGCCTCTCTGTCTGATCACTCTGCCAGGGGAGCCTCAGTGAATAGGCGAGAGATTATTGTACAATATGTTGCAGCTAAAAAGGGCCGATGTTGCTCTGTTGTTATTTAAACCATTCATTGTGTTGTACAAAAACACAACAGGTGCAAGACTACAAAAATAGCCTTTTCTTCCAAAAGTAACATAAGGAGAGATGTCTCCCAGGGTCTCACACTCAGGGATCGAACACATAATGACGGTGGAGTAGTGACAGGAATAGAAGGCACTTTAATGCAGATTGATCCACAGAGACCTGAATGCAAATCATTACTAATCAGATTGTTTACTACACCATAAATGATGAGTGCTGTGCATGAGGGATGCCGACCGACAGCAGAGAAAGAGAGACGATTGTTGGTTCACTGCTGAAACACAACGGGAAGATTTCCCAATTATTGAGATAAAAAAAGAATTTGCAAGAAACATTTGCATAGATGTCTGAAATGGGATTTGCTGAACTGAGACGTTTCAAGTTATCTCTCTTGTTTGTCAACTTTGCAACTGCTCCTAAAATATTAATCAAATAGAAGTCAAAATGTATTAAAACATTGGAAATCACAGAAATCATCTTTTGTGTTTAATACAAAAACACAATTTCATTTACAATGTTAATTGAAGAAATGTCTGGTTTTTGTTCCATCTTGCATCCTGTGTTGGCGCAGAGCAGCATAAATGCTTCCGGAATAAACTGCTTTTGACTCAATTTGTTGAAAATTATAGTACATTGTCTTAATTCTACACATAATACAATTATCTTGTATCATTATTTGTTTTATAACATAAAAAACTAATGTTTGGACTCTCACAGAAAGTCTCCCAGGCACAAGACAAACAAGTCAAATCTGCCCATTTGTCGAGATCTCATGTGGAATATTCTTGTATTCTTGAACGAATAGTGTGAGCGTCTAAAAATGGATCGCTGCCACTTGGAATGCAAGGCGGTTGCTCAGTTACACAGTATTGCACTGCATTGAAATGAGATTCATTGTTTTGTTGCACCATCTGGCAGCGCCAAACAGGTGTGACTCAATTCAATAATTTGATGATGGAGGCAGTTAAGCATAGGCTTTGGCAAGGCATTGAATATCACATATTATAGACAGTGGCACATTGAATATAAGGTTTCATCAGATTGGTTGCCTTTTATTTAGAGACTTTCCTTCTGCGTTGTGTGTGCCTCTGTCACACTGTGTCCCCTGCTGTGCTTTGTCTCACGTGCATGCTGAGTTTTACATTACAGTTAATTGTCAGTCTCTGTGTGTATTCACACTGGCATGGTCACATCTATTTTTCTTTCCATAAAGTCCTTTAAAACATGATTGTCATGCTCCTTGTTTTTCACATTTTAATTATGAGATTGTAGTGGAATGGAATTTATTTTTAAATAGCTATAAAAAGCTCTCTTGTTGTCAAGAATCAAGAAACAAAACAATGAATGACTTAACCCAGTAAAAATGATTTCTCTGTGAATATTTATCCGTCCAAAAAGATTCAAAACACATTAATTAACAACAAAGATGCCCTGGCCGACATGTTCCTTCATTATCATGAATATACACACACTGTAGTTTATCTTCAGTCATAAACGATGCCTTAATGAATCCAAGGCTTGATATAGACCACCAATTAATTCCTAATTTACGCCTGTTGGGTTAGAGTTGGCAAACAACTGCAATTCCCAATTGTTTTAAGAAATATCTAGGCATTTTAAAAGATTTGATTTGTGAAACTGTTAATATTCACATTTTAATTGGGAAGAAGTGTCAGATATGGTAGACAAGCAGAAATGTCTGGACTACATTGTGGATTTTGGTATTTTAAGGGATTTCCTAAGGTAATATTAGATTTAGCAAGTATGGCATTTCCCATTATATACTGATATATCTTTAATGTGGAGCAAAAAAGAACAATAATTCACAACAGCAACAAGTAAACTTTGAAATGTCTGCATCTATTATGATCTAATCTGACCGCGCTCACCTGCTGTGGCTCTGGTAGCTTTTTACTATCTGGAGCGGATTCCTTCGTCTGATTCTGAAGGCAGTCGCCCCCGGTCTATAGGAGTAGAGAGAAAATATTCAGTGCAGTGTAGAGAGTACATGCTGTTTGCATTCAGTGAAAACACAATATGAACAGACCTTTGTATGGGACATTCAAATCCCCCTTTTTATTTTCACTAGAAAGCAATCAGGAGTCTTATTGACTTCTTCTCAAAACCATTCAATAATCCAAATATGTTTCTCACTGTATTGACAGTGATTTATTTAGCTTGTTTACTTGTGTACAGGACACACATGTTGTATTCTGTGTGTCCTGTACACATTTACTAATTAGTTAATCAACAGTTATTCAATCAACAACCAAATGGTATGAAGCAATGAATAATTAAAATGAGTAATTGTAAATTAGAAAACCAATGCCTGATATTTGTTGGTGGTTTCATAAAGATCTGCTGCTCTCCTCTTTTCGTTTCACCGTACTATGGAAAGTGGATTTTAGACTGAAGAAGCAATTTCAAGATGAAACCTCAAACAGACCTTTTTTGCAACTTATGACGTAAAAACAATCAATTTTGAAATGATGAATAAAGAAAATAATGATACGCTGCATCCCTACAGGATGTGTTATTGTTGATCTGTTACAAAGTTGCACACGTCGCTAAAAGCATCGTCAATCATTCCCCCGCTTCAATACACTTGCCAATTTGCCAGCTAGGTAATGGCTTTGCTTTCATGTAACATTGCTGTCAATTATTATGGCTAAAACTAAGCTTTGTACAGCTTGAATACTAAATGTGGACATTACAAAATATATGAACTGCTTCTTTATAAAATAATAAGGTCAATTATGAATTACTTCATGGACCTGCTGTATAGAAGAACATTTGGATGCATCAAACCACATGTAAGATAAGTGAATGCAGTCTCCTGCATGCATTTTTTCTGAAATATAGATTTCAAACAGTTTGGTGGGACTTCTTTCTACAGTGTGACAAGCAAATCATTTGACAGCTGCAAATGTATCACATTTAATTTTCAAACTGAAACACAGGCCATACGCTACGTGCTCACACAAACTGTCTCTTGTCATTTCCTCCCGTGCTACAGGGGGGGAGGACAGCGGGAGACGTGGCGGTGCTCACGAGCGGACACCATATCTGAGTGTCTGTTTCAAACATGTCTCCTCTTATCTGTATCAAAAATGTTTCTGCCTCTCGCTGTGGGATATTTTTCCACCCTGCCTAAATGATATAAGCAAATATGGGACACTGCTGAACATTGTTCTTGGCACAATGTCATTAAAGAACAATCTCTTTGACGCGGTTTCCACAGAGGGTAATATCCTCTCTGGGTGGCATCCGTTCGTGCTCCCCTGTCTTCAGTGGTCTTTCAACTTTCATCTGTAATAGTTTTTGATAGTTTTAAAAATCATTAGGCTTCCCCATCAGAGATACACATTCAGAGCTGTCCTCAAAACTCAATCGTAGAGAGGCAAGTCTGTGACCATTAAACCACCTCCAAAATAATCTGAACATTAGAGGTCAGTTTCTCCTTCTGTCTCTCCTCCCTCAGTACCGGCGTTCAGAGTGCTGTAGCAACAATGCACTCAATGAAGATCCTCAGTGTAAAACACGGTGTCTGTTTGCACGGGGCAAGTTGAGCTGTCAGTGAAAAGCTCTTTGAAGTTGGGCTGAGAGTGAAAATAGTATCTTCACTGAAACGACAGTTCTCTTTCAGCGCAGTTAATGAGTTGCTGAAATATTCCCTAAGTGAGATTTAAGGCTCTAAGAAACAATGATGTGGAATAATCCATTGTGGCATTTTGTAGATGAATGAATCATCGAAAAAACTAAAATATCCTCAGATTTGAGAAGCAGAAACTGAGCATGGTGCTAATTGATTTAATAAAGTTACAGATCATTAATTTTTACCAATTTTCTGCTGATAGACAACTCATTCATCATTTCAGCTGTGAAGTGTATAATTATTTCCTGCGGCGAACGCAAGGCTCCATGCGAGATATTTTTATTCCTCTTAACTTTAGCTTTCACAAAGAAGAAATATGCTCTCGTGAGGTTGCATAACCTAAGCAGTGTTTTAAACGCTTGTGACCAGGGCAGATCACAACTAATTACCATCACATTATTTTTATTATCATAAAAGACGTAGCAGAGAGGCTGGGTTAGAACTAGGCGCTGCAAGAAACACTCAACCTTCATACAAGGTGAGGTACTGGCCGCCATTAGCCAATAATATTTGACGATAAATCAATCAACCATTTAGTTTCTATAATCTGGAATACACTCAAAAATGGCCATCACAGTAGGCATGTGTTAAACCAATTGTCCAATACCTGAAAGATATTTAATTAAATATGAAATCAAATGTTGCAAATATAAGCATTAAAGCACAATTGTCAAAAAATAGTTTATGATATTTTCTGTTTCGATAATTGTTACCATACCTGTTTATGATCAATATTGTAATCTAATAGCACAGTATAATCATTTGAAGTGATTTAACTCAAGTGTAAAAGTTGAACTTGATGATATTGACTGAAGAATGACGGAAGAATACTTTTTTGCATCAAGTTTTAGAACGAATGGACCTACTGTAGACCCTCAGAATAGAAGAGGCTTGTCTGATTTCAGATGAGCGGCTTGAGCATGGATTCAGTGAACAGATGAACTTCATGGACACAAGCCCCCAGGTAACATATGCCATTATAGTTTAATTACTCTAAACAGACTCACCTTTTCCATCTGGCAGTCCTTAACTCCGCCACTCTCTCTCCTCATTACTTCCATGTTAATGGGTGATTTACTGGCTGTGACAATTCTCTGAACTTTAGAGATATCCTGTTGGCAAAAAAAAGACAACATTACAATTTAGGGTTACAAATAAAATGTCTAAATGTCGTGTTAATGCAGCTGAAGCAATGGGGTTCTTTGAATGTAAGCAGTTCTGACTCAAAGGTTCACAACGGCTTAATTTATACTTGTTCATTTATATGAATTCAGCTTATTCATGAGTAGTGAATAAATCATTGCAAAAAACTGCATAATGACAAACTAAAACATAATTACTGAAATATTAAGGAGGTGATTCTAGTCTGGTTATTTCAATCATTACATATCCAATGACGGGGAGAATGACAAGTAACTAAATAAATTACTAAAAGTCATCAGGCAGTGCATGTAATTCGTTTTTAGCATAGCGTTAGCTTTTGACTTCTGGGAATTGCATTTCCCTTAAAAAACAAACTGGTGTTAATATGAGGAGAATATCTGCTTAAAAAAACCTGTTAAGTATCACTAACATGTGTTGGCCACAAAGCTCATTTGGTGCAATACAACCATATCCAATGGGAAAATCCTATTGTATCTTGTCTAGCAACCACTTTAAGATGCTAACTTCCGTCAGCAGCATTATGTACTGTAAACACAACTGTTGGAAATGTTCATGAGTTTGGTTGAAGGGTATATTATTCTTTGGAGCAGATCCAAACTACAGGGCGTAAAACACATTCTTTTTCACTTTTGCTTAAAAAAACAGATAGGACAGTCAGCGATTGATGCCTGTACTGCGAGTGAAAAGTAAGCATAATCCTGGGAGGTAGATTTGAGCATTACAGCTGTGAGAGCTTCACATGATGGACAGTGATGTTACAGTGTAGTGACCCGGTGCAAAAACAGCCAAAGCAATTTCAAGATTGTAGAAGGAAAACAAGATGGACAGGCAGAGAGGAAAAGCTTCTCTCTGGAGAATATAGAGCAATCTATAGCTCTACAGAAGGAAATTATGACTTTAGTGAGGTTGATGTGCTTTGAATCGGTGGAGAAATAAACGCTCTATACGTATAAAGAAAAACAGATTCCAGAAGTGTTACATGGCAGGGTTGAGAGAAAATTATGTTTGATTTCATAACATAATCCATCATTAAAATAATGATGATTGATCCTTTGGCAGGCTTCTTTGCAGAGACCATGTTGTGGTTTGTCAAAGTGAACTTTTAGCCTGGCTTGAGATCAAATTCGTAGCCTGTTTTGAATCACACTGTTAAACCCCAGCAGGATCATGTTGTCATTTATAACTTGTATGTATAAGAAAATATTTAAAACCGCATTCTTTTAACATACAGTACATACCTTCTAAATGTTGACAGCAGCAGAGTGACTCAGCAGGTTGTTGAGTTGTTATCCTATACAGTAGTCAAAGCTCTTTCTTTGAGAACCATGCCAACAGGCACCATTGAGTGTGGCAGTGCAATGTGTGATAGAGATGTATCAAAACTAAGTATCCACAGATAGCAAGTGCCAAAAAAGTTAGTGGATAATCTTTGCCTTCAGGCTCCCTGGCAGTGTAGTGTGGAGAAGACTGATGTCAATATCTTGATTTTGTGAAAAATGTTTTCTACTTAGAGGCCCAAGTACAGCAAGGGCCCTCAGTTTGACCCTCCTGCATAAGGAATATTGACATTATTTAGTGTTGACCCAAGTTCTCACCCACAGTAGTAAACTTCTTACTACTACAGAAACAAGCCAATCCAAAAGTAAGATATTTGTATTTGGTACAATCTATCCATGCTAAATATACTGCTGACCCATAGGCCAGTGACTTACGCAGGCGTTGAGACTACAATTCAGCAGGAAAGGGCATCCCTGTCATGTATTCTGTAATATGCCAACATTTACAAGCAGTGCAGAAAATGTACGGTGTGGATATTATTTATTTAGCCTGCTCCCAGACACAGTCAATTTTGAATAATTCAGCAGTACTATTCATACAAATAAATATATGAAATCATGCTTAGATTAGATCGCTTTTGTGCTTCAGTATACAGCAATTTAGTTAGTTAGCAACAAAAAGTAAAATTTGAACTACATTTTTTACAGCAAAAAAAAATCAAAATCCTCTCCGTCTCCTTGAGCCGGTGTTCTGCACCAGGCTGCTGCTACATAGTACCTTACCTAACTGGGTCAAAAGTGGTCTCTTGTGAGATGAACAATGGTTTCAGGCAATTGTAACCTGTCACTGTCATATCCCATTCTTACTTTGTCAACTGAAATAACATATGACTTTACTTGTGAAAGTGTCCACTTTGGAGTGAACACTTGATGCATTATATCCTGACTTTTGACAGCATACGTCAGATCGAGGAAGCATTCGACAGTACAGCAATGGAAGAGGGAGGGCATTTAACAAGCTGTTCTGTCTGCAAAAGTGTTTCTACAGTAAAAACTTAAAAAGGAGCTTAAAATGTGAACATTAATAATCATGGAATGTCTGTTTAAATGTAGACTACTTTTGTAAAGTAAAAATAAAATAGTTTAACGAAAAAGAGCTTAATTCGAAAGAATGACTTGGACTTCTTAGTAGGCATTTTGACATGCATGATGCAAATGGAATTGTACCATTCAAATTCAGCCGATAACTATCTTCTACGTCAGCCTTCTACTATCTCCTCCCTTCGTGGAAGAGATGAATATCCCGTTGATTTATAAAGACTAGAAAACAATCATAAAAGTAAATATTAAGTGCTGAGGGCAAATAAATTCCTGATCTCTCCTCCAGCTTAGTAATGTGAGCATCTAAGACATCATCTCCCATTACTTTGATGAAAATTGCATGCTATCGGACCACAAGGCTTGGCCCTCTCCCCGAGACTCTTAAATATGAACTAACTTCTACTCCAATCTTGCTGATCTCTGCATCCTCACACTAATGAATCTTTCACCAGCGAGGAGAGTTTTGTGTGTGTGTGTGTGTGTGTGTGTGTGTGTGTGTGTGTGTGTGTGTGTGTGTGTGTGTGTGTGTGTGTGTGTGTGTGTGTGGGACAAGGCCTGGGAGAGTCTTATCTGTGGCTTCAACCAGAGCTTAAGCTCCATTATGTAAACGCTAACTACGAGCGTGAAGCTCAAAGTGGTGTCAGTGAGTGCTTGAACAAACATCCCTGCACTTATCCACTTTGGATTTCAAAAACACAAAGCGGAATTCAACTCAAAGTGTTCTCATGAAACTAAAATGTATGTTTTATCATCCAGTTACTGAATAAATACTTTCTCCATATGTTAAACGCCTTAGGGGAATTGAATTTTCGCGTTTTTTATTGTCGGTAGAGCGATAATACCCTGCTGTGCGCAGAATTATTGCCTTTTGATCATCAACTATATTAGCATATGATTAGCCATGCATTTTCAGAAAAGTATAGCATGTCTTAGTAAATGCATTCATTTACAATCTACTTATACTAATATGTCTTGTCCAAACCTACACAAAAGAAACTAGGAAACAAGGATAGAATAATACAACTACTGAGTTTTTGATACTGTTAATGAACATCATAAGACCACGTGGTCATCAGAGACCCATGTTCCTGACATTTGCCTCTGTCAGTGAATTGTTTCCTAACTTCTTAGCTGCAGCTGATTTGGCTCGTTTATACACAATAAGTGCTATTGTCTGCTGTTTTTAACCACTTCATTTGAGATACATTTGGCAGTGATTAAAATTTGCTATGACCCACCTCTACTTGCAGGCAAAGTGGACAGATGGATCTTTGCAGCGGAGGTGTGCTCAGATTTATCAGACAGCCCGTCAAAGTGTACAGCGGCTACAGGAGTTAATGGAGCTAGCAACAGCTCACGAGTGAAGTGCTGCTATTGGTATGCTAATAAAGTAGGAAGCATACACTTCATTAGCATAAGAAAATCAACCCACACCTACCTTGAGTTTCCTTTACTTCTTATTTCATGAGATGCCTATTGTGTCCATGTGCTTGCATTTATTTAGCTCCCACTAATGAAAGGAAGATGACAGGGAATACACTTGTCAATTACAGAATATTGCGCTGTATGAAGGCACAGCAGAGGGACAGCGGTGACAGTGGTGCTACTGCTGCACAATAAGAAATGAAGAAAACTAAATAAAAATCTTCTAAGGCATGTCAAATCTCTTAGGCACCCTTGAAAAAGACGCAGGGTAAATTGTCAGTGCCTTGCTGAGAGAAAAGCCTCTTAAAGACAGAATTGCTCACCAGGATCATGGCAGATAAGGCACTGTGGTGCTGCGGCTGACTTGATGATTTCTAAGTGGCTGCAGTGACTGCTTTTCAGGAACCAACTCAATCTCTGATTAAGGATGACATGAATGCTTGGTACTGTAGACGGACAAATAACCACAGGTTCTATGAGGGACATTATGAAGAAACAAAAATGATGTGTATAACAGCTCCATTTCGGTTTATAGATCTGTAGAATAAAACATGTATGTTTATAACACTGTTACATGTTTTTGAAATGTTGACATAAAGTGTTTGTAGAATAAAAACATGTGGACTGGGAAAAATCTTGACACTTGAAAGGAGTCCTAACGTGTCAGTGTTTCACTAGAAACACAAAAGATAATATCTTCACTGAAATGGATGAAATCCTGAGGCTGTTGTTTAATCTACTGTGACCTTGACTGTGAGAATATCCCAACAAAGCCTGTTTCATAGTGAATTGTATCTTAACGAACAAACTTTAAATCTAAAATATGAAACTCTACAACCCTGTCTCCTCAAAATTACGTAATGTGGGAGAAAATAAGTTTGTAACTAAACGTAATTGAGAATGCAGTTTAGTTCTGTGGGAACGTAATTTTGAGGAGACAGGGTTGAACTCTAACAACACGTACAAATAATTAGGCTCGTAAACTACAGCACCATATTAATAAAATACTAATATTTAATTGACTGCTTGATTTAGACATGTTATTATTCTGACCTCCAGAACTGTGTTTGCCTAACCTGTATATTTGGTAGTAATTTCCCGGGCTATTTCTCTCTGGAGAGTGATACACAGGTCATCAGATTGAC